AGACCGCGTCCCGGCGAGTGTACTGTGCCTTGCCGCCCCCCGCCGCTAGTCCTACTGCTCGATGACGTCTGGCAACCCCTCACCGCCTCCCACCCCCTCCTCCTTCCTCGCTCTGCTACAGCAGTGGTTCTTCGGGGATTCTTTTGCAGGACCTCGAGGTATGAACACCTCAGGATAGGTACAGAAAGTCAGACTTCCAACCGCAACTGGTATACACTTGCCGCAGCGCCTGGAACCAGTAGGCGCGGAATGGTCTTGCCGTATCTTCATTCTTGCTTCTTAATCTTCTCGTCGATTTATTTAAATACATCATACTTAGTACATTTCTACAGAGGCTGATCAGTGCCGCTATTCCGCCCAGAGGTATAAGGGTTGGCATCCGGGTTGCCGTATACCCTGGGGTCGGCACGTCATGAACTTCCCGCCTATTGGCTGACGCTTGTACCCCCGGGCCAAAGATGACAGTTCTCCGACCCCGCTCCTACAAACTCTCTTCTGTACGTTAAAAGTACATATTGATTTGGTGCAAACATGGCTTTACATAGTATATTAATAATTTCGATGTGGGAATTCCTAAAATCTCTGCAATTGTTTAGGTAAATGTGTAGTACTATAGGTTGCTGTAGTGAATCCATGTGCCTAGTGTAACAGTAAGCTCCGCCTCTTAAGTGACGTCACGAAAGTTGAGGCACAAGTACTAGTGTGTTGGGAGGTTAGTCGACTTACATATGCCTTATTCGAAACTTGTCTTAAAAACTTTATTCCAGCATGGCATACATCAGAACTGTGTTCTGTTTTGGTATTGTAAACCCCCTTCTTTGTGTGTTAAGCACCTTGTCATAGAATAATAAAATACGAAACGCTCCCGTGACATAAAGGCGGAAATGTCAATGCACCTGGAGGAGCTGGGCATCGTATATTCTATAAGAAGTCACTCCTGCTGCTGTTACGTTCCGCAATGCAGTGATGGACGGCTATTGATTGTAAACCTAAGTATTTCCACGATATCATCACATATTGCAAAGTTTCCATACATATCTGGCGCCGCGAGTTACATGAAGTGGGTTATCATGTTATCAAGAAGACAGATGTAATGATTAGCATAACAGGTTGCCTGCTGCTTGACGGTGTACAGTAGACAAAGACGGAGAGGGCTTGATAACTCCCGCTCCCCCTCCCCTCCTCCCACCTAGCACCACTCCACACACCCTTCGGCCATCTAAGGTTCACTGGCAGCGCTGTGGATGCCAGACTTGATATCGAGTGAATAATCGCAGATCTCTTGCAGACGACGGAACCTTCTGGAAAATTTATCGCTGGAATTCGACTTCGAACTTCTTCACTTGATAACATAGTAGTTCATAATCAATCACAATGTATCATTTGTCATTCGGTTTAGGCTGTAATGTTAGTAGTGCAAGTGGACTATCAACGATGTTATATATCTCTCCAGTGGCCGCATGCCTCCTTGGATACATTACACTGTGGCGATAAGAATTAGAAGAAAAAAACAAAAGAGAAAAGAAAATGTGAATGAAGCCAATAGATGAACGACGAAGTGAAGAAACGCGTGCAAACACACTCTTATGTGTATATACATCTAAAGGAATCCTAAGATGACAGAGGAAATACACCGACTCAATAATATAATATAACACCAACAAAATATCTTTAAATTTGATGGCCAAACCACTGCTAATCTCAGCAAACATTGCAGTTATTATGAGCTACCTTGGAGAGAAAGAAGAGATATAGGGAAACTCGAAGTCATATTTTTGAAAATATCCGTTCCTTTGAATTACAGAACTGTGGCTAACGAAATCGCGAAAACACGAAAGATATAGCCGATTCTTAATCGGGCATAAGTTTTATCTTCACAATTAATGAATGAAATGAATAAAATTAGTGTTGCATATTTACTCTCTGTGAGTTTAGTCATAATACATATACTTCTTGCATATTTAATCAGTGTGCATTTTTACTCTCTTTTGCATATTCATTCTTCGATAACTTCTAATATACCTGCTCAGAGGAATAGACCATGTATCTTGTGTATGCGAACATACAAGTTAAAATTAAATAGCAACATTCATAAAAAACGGTGGCGACAGCTAACACCTTAAAAAAGAGTATCAACGTCTAACATCCTAAAAATAACTTGGAGCACCTAACTTCTGAAAAAGCATCTTGAAAATAAGTAACAGCACCTAACGCCCCAAAATCAATAAACATCTAATATACTAATTACTATCAACGACTAACATCCTAAAAAGATAAGAAGTAACATGTAACGTCTTCATTCGTGAACCCATCGGCTGGGAGGAAGCGTCCACGAAGCCTCAGCAATTCGCAGGCGAGGAAACGGAAACTGAAACCACCATTTTCGGGGGAGCGGCGCCGGGATTCGTGACCAAAGCTCTGCCGAGGAAGTACGGCGACCTTGGCGGTGTGTGTGTGTGTGTGTGTGTGTGTGTGTGTGTGTGTGTGTGTGTGTGTGTGT